TGCTGAAACAGATCTTATGTTTCAAGTATGCCTCTAGACTCTATTACTGCTTCAAATGTGGCAGAACCCTGATTTATCTTAGATTTTCCTCGCTGCTCCAGATTTCAGCCAAAGAAATGTCTTGATTCAGAAAACCAATGCTGGTATATTATATTAACTTTTTTTAAAAAAACCTGAGGTTTATAAATTAAGGCAATTCAACAAAGCACTTATGAAAGCCTGCTGCTTTTCAGCAAAGCCTTAATGCATCCACTTAAAGCCAGATATCCACTTTCATGGCTCTGATTCAGTAGAGCACTTGAACAAATGCTTCGCACTGATCTCCATGGTCTAGTAGTTATAAAATCTATCCAACTCTGTGTCTACGTCAAGCCAAAACTAGAACACATAAATGCATCAGAACTGTTCAATGGATACTCCATTATTTTGACACCAGCATCAACAGAAACCTCCTTTATTTTACCACTTTTAGAAGTACATTCAATTAGTTGATCATGATGGAAGAGTGTGATTATGAAAAGTATATACCATGTACAACTTAAAGAATTATCTATTAGATATACAGATGTTAATGCACATTGGCTGTGCCGTGTTTGTACCTCGTCTACAATAACATTTGTATGGAGAAAGTAAGTTAATTTTGAGAAACTGGGATTAATGCATAGCTACAACAGAGTTGTGCGTCTCTGAGGTCTGATGGCGTTTCGTGTAGATTATCTGGAGCTGAGCTCTGTAGTGCCACAGACTCCCCTAATTTCATAGCCAGTTGTCTTACGACTGACTACCAATGCTATCAAAAAGTACCTGCCTTTTTGTAGCTGTAAAGAGTAATTTTGCATTTTTATACCTTGACCCTCTTCTGCTCCTTGACATGGTAGCTTCTGACGCTCTTATTTAATATTCAGCTGTCCTGCATCCTACGACTTTTTTTACCCCCTACTGCTGGAGAAAAAGTCTACAAGAACGGCTGAATAGGGAGCAGGGGACAGTGATGTTTGCGGAGACAGTGTGATACAGACAGTAACACGCATAGAAACGTACAGTTCTGTGGGTGTCTGTAGCCAGACAAATACAATAACTTTGGAAACAGAAATTTGTAATTGCTTCCACATTCAACAATAATTTTACTGGGGGAACAAGTTCAGCTTTTTACTGGAAGTGCAAGTTGGAATGAAAACAGTGATGTTTTCTGAGTATCTCTGTGGTATTTTCAACACTGCATGAGTAATCCTCATCCTATAAAATATGGCTTGAATTTTTGGTCAGGCTTCACAGACACTGCTTTCAAAGTTGAATAGGCCATATGTCTGCCTCTCCATATGAAATGTTGCATTTTTCTTAGCCTGTGTTATTTCTCTGCTCTAAGAAACTTTGCTTCAGCAAGCCCATCATTTCTAGTACTTCACGTAGCTGCATTTTTGCTCTGCCGGGGATGTGGGATTCGCTATGAGTGGTTCACCACCAGCCTGATGTCTGACATCTTAGCCTTCCCTGTGGCAAAATG